CACACACACACATGTACGCGGGCGTGCGCGCATACGCTTAGAGATATGCGGGCGCAAGCGCATATATACACAATCATTCTTTTAATATTTAATTATTGCACAAGACGTACAAGAATTACATATACCTTATTATGGAAAGATAATAAGGAGATAAACGAAGACGGAGATATTAATTTGAGTAGAAAACATTTTATTTAATAAATTCCAAATATTAAAGTTTCTTTCTTGTGATCATTACATCCGTCAACGCGTTTGTTGGTAGCCACTTAATTTATCACAGGGAAAAAGAGAAATATTTACGCAAACTCATCAACAGTACTCTCTCTAAAGGCAATGGTCGTTTCAGAGTGATATCTATGGCTTTCATCCTTCTCACCAGGTAATTAATGGCAATCGAATATTTACGCGTGTGCATCGAGACATGACCATCACTAACTAAACTAAAAGATATATTAATGCATGCGGAAGTTACAAAATTTTTCAAGAGCCTCATCACAGTACGTTAATTAAATTTATTTAAATGCATATTGCGTCTTATTGATATCGTATTTAAATAAATGCAAAACAAAAGATCGCTAATAATTCCACTTGTAATTATCAAATATATGATGTCTTATAATATTGGATATAATTTTTATTATATATTAAAATCATTATGTTAATTCTTTTGTACTTGCAAGTACGTATTAGCTTTAACGTTTCAGCTTTACTGGCACCTCTTTATTTTTTATTTATTAGCTCGTGATATTTATCATGGGATTTTTTTCATTAAACTATTATATTTTATGTAAAACATATCGCAAATTTAACAGTAATAAGAAAGATTTAACATTTAACATAATCAGAAAGAGTGTGATTTTGAAGACGAGCAAAAATATTAATGTATGTATCAATTTCACTCATGCATTTCCCTTGAGATACCTCTTACTCTCTCCATACCTTTCACTGTTTTAATACTTGTTTTCATATCCTTCGACGAATGTAATTGATGCTATTTCCGTATAAGACGGATATAAATCTACAAATCGACAAAAAATTGAATTAATTCATTTAGGAAATTAATCGTGCTAAATAAATAATCGTGCTGAATAAATGACTTACTGACTATATATTATTAATTGTGAAAATAATTAGTTCATATATTAATTATTTATTTGTTTATTAATTTTAGTAAGAGACACACGGATAAATATTATAAATAAAGCTTATAAATAAAAATATAATATTGTAAAATATTATAGAATTAATTAGCTGCACTACTAATTACTTTAAAGTACGATGATTTTCATTTTTTTTTGGATTTCATCTTTTGTTTCCTTTGGTACGTATGGATTCTTTAATGGATCTGCATTTAGTCTGCAAATATAACACTAATAGATTAGTACAAAAAATAATATTACATCATTATGTATATTAATACATAATTACATCTAATCATTGCAACAAATTATTGCAACATATTAAATTATTGCAAAATACTTTTATAATCTTTGAACGCATATTTGTTGCAATCGCCCAAAAGAACTTTACCGATAAAGAGATGGGGCATTGGCACAATTAACATTGTACCACCAATCGCACGCAAATTCCTGTTGATTAAAGAGCGTTCCATTGGTACATAAGAAAGAAGCACCCTGATGCCCTTCACGTCCATCATGGCACACATGATATGCCTGTAATAACATACTAACTACTACTACACTACTACTACTACTACTACTACTACACACACTATACTACTAACTAAATAACTACTACTACACACACACACACACACACACACACACACACACACACACACACACACACACACACACACACACACACACACACGCACGCACGCACGCACGCACGCACGCACGCACGCACGCACGCACGCACGCACGCACGCACGCACGCACACACAAATGTGAATTTAAGTTAAATATATTAGTTTTATGTTAAGTTTATTTTATTTAAAATTTTTATATTAATTGTGAGAATTAAAAAAGTCGTACAAATGATGCAAACTGGTCGAATCAGGCTAATATGATGCTTTTCTGTTACATAAACATCATAATTAAGGAATTAATGTGAAATATGTTGTGCAAGTTTACTGAAAATAATAAGAGCGACGTGAAACAGTAGGAAAGAAGTCAGTTTTAAAGAAACACAAAGGAAACGAATGACATTCTTGAAAAGGAAAGTTTAACGCTCTGGAAATCAAGTTGCGATGCATGACGGAGCATTTGAGTCACGTAACATCATTTATGTTAGTACGTGTTAGTCTTCGTGAAAGAATCAGTTTTTTTGTATCGCGATCAGTATTTGTTGTTGTATCGCGATAATTTTTGTGATCGTCATAAGTTATGATCGTTATGCTATATTACTTATGGACTTCACGAGTATCAAAGGTGACACAACTTGAAAAATTTTTACTGAATTATTAATTTTCAAAGGTTAACAAAGAAGCAACAAATTAAAGCTTAATTATGCTCAGTATAACTTTGCATTCTCGAGATTATATTGAGAGGCTGAACTGAATTCAATTACAGTAACAACTTGCTAAGATGATTCTCCTGCAAGGTTTGTCTTTCACTAAGGCAAGATCTGTTCTTACTCCCGCGTTGCCTTGAGGTTTTAATAATGCCAATCCGTTCTCTTACATAATAAATCCGCTCTACTTTGACCGCGTGCAGCTCATGCTGCGTTGAAATCAGTGAAATGATTTTACCTTGCTTTCTGAGTAATCTCATAAGTTTTGTACAATACAACGTAATATGAAATTTACCTCGCAAGAAAACATTAATATGCAAATATAATACAACTTATATATAATATAAGTCTGCGTATCGCAATAAATTACTCTTAACTTCTGTTTATTTAATTTTATTTTATTTATTCAAAATATTACATTATTATTTCAATAAATCTTATGACATCTATGTATCCCTATATATTTAATATATATCAATTTTTAAATAGTAAATAAGATGCTGATATAAAAATAATCTTTTTTAAAGCAAATATACATCATTTTTATGCTTTGATTATTCAAATCCTTGATATATGTAATATATTTTCATCAATATAGTACATAACATTATAGTTACATACATTCACATCGTTCATTTACTAAATAATAACAAAATAATTGCAAATATGTTTAAGTTATAATACGCTTCTCGGTATTTAAATTTTAAATATCAAGCATATGTCATTTTTTGTTATTATAATAATTCATATTAACATTAAAAAAAAAATCTCCTTTCAGTGCGTTTTATACAAAATAATTTAATTTTCTAAAAGATTGTTTATTTCTTGTATATCTAAGTCGTTTGTGATTTTATTACGCATGCACGAATTCTGTGAATGAATAAATTTAAAAATTAAATAAATTTTAAATTTTTATGGATGCAAAAAACAAGTAAGATTCATATATAAGTGTCTAATATAAAAAAGCTATAAAAAAATTTTGTATAAAAGATAAGCTGTAAAGTTACAAAATTGTCTAGAAAATAGAATATTATTAGATATTAGCTTGTATTATTAGAATAATTAACAAAAATAAAACTAAATAATAATAAGCGCGCAATATTTTGTATTATTTGATATTATTTGTATTATCTAGTATTATCTAGTATTATCTAGTTGTTGATAAATTTATTTCGTATTATAAGATAAGAACATATTTATTTCGTATTATAAGATAAAATGTAAAAATATAATTAATTAACCATTTGTTTAAAGATTTCATCTTTAGTCTTATAAGAACGATTAGTATATATTCTATTTCTTTTCTACAAAACATAAAAATTACACTGAAAACTTTTTCATTAAAATAATTAATTCTGACAATACAATATTATATATAATTACAGTATTATTATATAAAGTATTAAAAAGTGAAACATGTACCTGACAACCGGTTTCCACATTTGCATACATTCCTGGTATGACCGGAACGTATGCGCAGGAGAAACTCGTAGGCGGTACTGTATGATAGATAGGATAATCTATTCCGGGGATTCCGGGAATCTTGTTCAAATTCTGATCTTTCTTTGGTTCTTCTTTAACAATAATAGGCTGACGAAATCCAACTACCGGTTGAAAATTTTCATATTCATCATGATAATCATCCACTGGAACCTAAAAATTGATAATATCTACTTTTATATTTTGAAATTAACGAGTAATCTGTTACCAATATTTTTAGAAAATAAAACAGAGCATCACAAATGAAAAAGATAGACGGATTAATAAAAATAATTATAGAAATATTTAATTGATGTTCATAAAACATTAATCAAAGTAATGAATTAGTTAGGCGTTTTTGCGAGGATAATAAGAAGTAATCTCTTCCAATTGCGGGATCCAATTGCATAATTTGCTTTCATAGTTTAGAAAAAGTTTGGAGCCCAGCAAAGTGTAACAAACAATTGCGAAATGTTGCCTTAATTTATTTAAAGTCAAGGACATTTCTTTATATTCTCTCTCTTTATGTTGCTACTATATTACAAAGTAAATTTAATTAAAGCAACTTTAGTTTATTTAAAATAACTTTAAGAAAAAGGATCAAGTATTAAATAAAAAAAGATCAAAGCATTTTGATATAAATATATGACATAATATAGTGTGTGCGTATATTTATAAGTGCACATAGTAAAATCATATATGCTTTACAATACGTGTACGTTATCGCTGCTATAAAATTTTAATTATTTGTTAAGATTTAATTGAATTATATATACCTTAGAAAAAATATCGATTCACAAATTGATTTATTTTGATTTACATGTAGTGTAACAATTCAATTTAGAAATACACAGAGATACACGATTCAATTTAGAGATACATATGTTTGTATCATGTTTGTAGAAATAATCTCACGCATTAAATAGTCCTTGTCAAAAACTCATATATTACGTATATTTCATAAAATAGATTTATTTTAAAAATGATAATTCTTTAGATTACAAGTCCTTTGTAATACATATCATAATTATTTTCTAAAATATCAAAAAAATACAAATTTAAATAAAAAAATTGATTATATTTGAAATATAGCTTTTTTTTCTCTCTTTTTCCTTTCCTTTCTTTCTTTCCAAATAAAGAACAAATTTTAGAAATATTACAAGTATTATTGCCCAACATAAAATTAAAAATTATTTTTATCGAATAAAATCAAGATTTACCTGTATAAGTATGGTTGAATAGGGCGCTGCCATAACAGCCAGCAGAAGTGCAGCAAAGATATCGCGACTTGTCAGCATGATCGCATCGAGTTTGAATATGAAACTGGACCAGTTTCTCCTGTGAGACCATGCTACGTATACGAGAAATTATGTCACATAAAGAAAGAGAAAGTCTAAACTACACGTAACACGACAGCTCGAACAGCTCCCTTCCATCCTTATCATTTTAAGAGATTAGACTTGTGTTTCGATTAATTGCACATCATGAAACAAAAATTTGGACAAATCATAGGCTGTCGACATCGCTGGAATTGTGTGTGCGAGATTGATGCAACTTGATGCAATATACAGACTAAAATAACAAAACTTTATCGTATGATTATTCTTCTTGTATCAAGATGATGATAAAATAGCATGAAAAGAAAAGAAAATAAACGCCAAAAAAAAATAAAATCCCGATTTTAATTACAAAACTATACGTTTTATAAGTAATTTTTTTATAAGTTTTGAAATTACGTCTCCAAAATTTAAAAAAAGCAACTACAATTGCTTTAAACTTAATTAAAAAGCTACCAATATAATTTAGTACAAAAAAATTATATTCTGTACAACACAAATAAGGAAAGAATACTTGCAATTTATATTTTACATGAAATTAATGTACGTTATTAAATTGCAAATCAAATTTAAAAAAGTGTTGATGATCTTTGTATAATCTTCCAATATCATACTAGTATTATCATATGTTTCTTTTAAGACTTAAAACTTTTACTTTTATTTTGTATGATAGCTAATTTAAAAAATATACAAGTATTTTCATCATATAAAATACTTTGTATGAAGAAATGTTTTATTATAATTTATGGAATATTAAACTATGATTTATAATTTAATGAAAGGATAGATAAATAAAAACAAAGTGTGAGACATAAAGAATACAGAAGAATATAAAAAAATTGGAGAATGTTTTATTTTTATTTTATTTTATATTACACTATTTATTTATTTTATATCACATTATTAAATTTTTTTGTCATATCCACAAAAAATATTTACATAATTATTATTTTTCCTTCTTTTTGAAAATTGTAATCTTCCAACTTGCCAATTTGTAATATAGCTCTAATAATTATATATCTAATTATTAAATATAATTATATATTAAATATATTATATAATTATAATAAATAGCATTAGAAATAAAGCTTATATTTATTTTTATGTTTAAGATTTTAATATAATGTATTTTTGTCCTTTATTCTTACGTTATATAAATTAAACTTATTTTACAAGACTTTTATAATAATTATTATCTTCATTTATTTAGTATTGTTTCTACATTATGCATAATATATTTATGTTACAACAAGTGCAGATATCTTATTTTTTAATTCACGTACAAGGAAAGGAATCTACTTCATCGACCATCTTGCATCGCTCTAATGAAAAGTCACTGAAGATTATCGCCCTCTATCTTACAGACATTGAATAACCGTTAATTATCGCGCTTTTCTCTACGCTCTTTTATAAATAAACATATAAAAGTATCAATTTGCATATCTCCAATTCATATTAAAATAATTGCAATTTTTTTTTAAATCAAGACTTTTAAATAAATAAATTTTATTTTGATTCTAACGTCAACAACAATTTAAAAACTGCACTCAGTAATCCAGAATTAATTAAAAACAAAAATATTATAACTATTTTAATATTTCTATAAAATGTACAGAAATAATCTACCTGCAAAAATAATAAATATTTTCAAATAAAATATAAAATATATAAAATATTTGCAGATATTTATTATATCGCAGTCAATAATAATAAGATCGATTTCGATCTGAATACTCGCATTTATTTTAAAAACTTATAAATTCTCTAGTAACTTTATTAATCCAGATTAATATTTATTATAAATATATTTATAAATACAAATATTCTGATAAATAAATATTTATTTATTTATGATTCTAGTTGTATTTTACCAAATAATGATCATACAAGTACATGGATTCAAAATTATTAATTATATATACGTTAATTTATAATTACTATGATCATGAGAGAACAACAGTTGTAATCATTCAAATCGAATATTTTTGTCTTATGCAATTCGTACGATGATATTTGAACGCCCTACGTTTTCGTATTGTACGAGAAGACTGACGCAACAACACAAAAAGAGAATCAAGATTTTATAATGTGTGCTGCAATTCTGTCAGCTATTTCGTTAAAGAAATAATTCTAACATAATAAACGAATATTGATGTAGATTATCTACATTAAACGTAGAACTTCATGAATCGTATACAATATTTTACTTATGATGAATTTTGATGTGCGATGAGTTTTGAGATCACTCATTGGATTGGAAATAATATCGTGACGAGATACAATTAATAATATTGTACATTATTGCTCCATGACTTTGCAAATCATTAAATGGATAAGATTAAATCTTGTAAGATAAAATCTAGTGATTTGGTCGTGAGAAATGCTTTATGCGCATGCATGCGCAGTGCCCTAATAAAATTTGCCATAAAGATAAAGTACATACATTAATAATACCGTAAGAATGTATCAGAATTATAGATAAATGCGAGATTTAAAAACATTTTCTTTGATATACAGAGATTTAATTTATGAATAATATAAACGATTATGTAATCCCTTTATAAACATATAGAGATAACAAAAATAATTTTATTTTAAACAAAATTACAAGATTTTGTTTAATTATTATTTATTTATTGTCCCTAATTTAGTTAAACATAAGAATTTTGTAATTTCCCAATTTTTCACTTCTTTCCATTTCTTTTATAGGAATAATGACAATTAATATTGTTATTATTATTGAGAAGAAAGATTAGTGAGCTTCTTTTACTTGACATTTGGTTTCGAAGTCTGTAACCATTTCTTTTCTTCCATAACAAGAAAAACTGGTTTCCGGTATATTCGTAAGATTTGTATAAGCAGAATCATAAGAATTGGCAATATTTGATTTAATTTCTTAATAAAGTGGTGACGATAATTTTACCTGATACTTTCAACTTTGGCAATGTTGTTGATTCATGTCGTTTTTTGAGCCTATATGCCTTAAAGATCGTTTATGAAACTCATTGAGAAATCCTTGATAATCTGTAATAATCTAGTAAACATTAAATGAAGAAATTATGTTAATTGTATGTCATGTATAAAAATATAAATACAAATATTATATTCTAATCCATATATTTTCATTTATAGTGTAATAAAAAGAATATAGAATAGTTTTATATAATTTAATAACTAATATGTTAAATAAAACGTTATTTTACGTATTAATTGATGTAATAATGATTTGACTATCATAATTTGACAAGAAAAATATTAAAAAATTACATCTTTCATAAGGTTATAAATATAAACGCTTTAATTTATTAAAATTTTTGAAAATAAAATATTTTCAAAATAATTAAAATCTAGGCTGTTTATATTTTGTTTACAAAAATAATTATTTACAATAGAAAGCAACGAAAAAAGAAAAATAATATTAAGATATTACCTGATGCGAATCGAAGAGTGCAAGATTATTAACAAAGTAATCATCAAACGATTTGTATACGGTATCCCAATCATATTCTGTCGTCCAACTGGATAAATCAAACAGATTTTTGTCAGCCGGAAATATAAGAGGCGCTACAATAGGCTTGTAAATACCCGGTTTGGCCGGTGGTACGATCGACACAATTTGTCTATAATTCGTATTCGAGTAGATTTGTGATTTTGGATAACTTCGAAGTTTGACGTTTCCAAAATTATTTGATGTTTTATGATTCGTATGCATAAATGGTTTTCGTATAATGTAAGTTGTGTCGACGGTTTTTGGATAATTATAATAAGATTGCTCTTCCGGCGGTACGTATCGACCGTCCGATGTTAGATAGACCTTGATTAAATAAAAGTTAATAAATATCTTTAAATGTAAAGTATGCAAAACTTACATTGAATAAAAT